AAGAGACCCCACTGTTTAAGTTTTATGAGTACTGAAAATCTCACACAAAGTGAAAATATATGGAAAATAAAGTAAAAGAAACACAAAGTAATTTGACAGCTGGACTGTGGTTCTGCACTCTATTTGCCAGGTTTGATCATTAAAGCTCAATCTCTTCCTCTTCCCTGCTGAGTCCAAATGGATTTTCAACTCCCTCCTGTTCTGTGGCACAGAATGGGATAAGGAGTGTTGCCCAACCAAACTAGCTTAAAGCCTGGTGATGACAACACTTCCCTGGGCATGGGAGATGAGAGTTTGGATTTCCTCTGGATGTAAATGTTACTGAACCTCAATTTTCTCAGCGTTAGATTACTGTTCTCATATCATAGTGTTAAATGAGTGTGGGCTGTCATCACTGTCAAACCTCTACCAAAAAGAAAAATAAAAACCAACAAAAAAACAGTAGAGACTCTGTTCTTGAAAATAAAAGGATGGCAGTGCACATGGCATCTCCATGGTAGAAGCTGCAGAAACTCGATGTACACGAGCTTGGCAGGACCATTAAATCCTTTTGTGGAAATTTGTAATCTGCATCCAAACTGATTAGCCCAAGTTCATACAAAGTCCCAGGCAAGAAAGGATGGAAAAGGAGAGTGCTGACTCCCAGCTACCACAAGGGAATTTCCTCAGTAGCCAGAGTGACTTGACCCTTCACGTAAGAATCTATGCCTGGCCTACTGTCCACTGACTGTCAGATAGTGGACAAAGGAATAGCTTATTTTGAGCAATAATGCCATGTTTTCACTCAAATCAGATTTCAAGGAAAGAAGACTGTAAGGAACAATTAACATCAAAGTGCTACTCACATTACCAAGCCATCTGGTTTCCATTTTTACACTCCTAGCAACATCACATCATGAGGTTTGGATGAGGCCATCCACTGTGCACGAGGCACAGGTAACTGCTTTGAATTTGAATTTTGTAACTGGACTTCCAAATAGTGTTATAACATTCTCTAGATCGTCTCCTAAAAATTTTGCTGATGTTGACTAAGAGCAAGCAGTGAATTGGATGTCCTTCAGGGCTTATGAATTACTTACAAAACCGAGTGCATTTGTTCAAATTGTACCAGCAAATCCTTTCTTCACTTTTCACATGTGATGCAGAATTGTATAAGCTTTGGTTTGTACCTGATACTTCCCACACTTACTTCAATGCTGTTCTTGTACAAAGACAGCTTCTTTAATGGTAAAAGAAAAAATCCTGGCTGTATGATTCCCAGAGTACAGTTCCCTTTCCACTGAGAGGGGAGTTTTGGGTATGCTCTTTTTCCACATATCCAAAATAAGCCATCTGGAGCTTTCCAATAGTCAAATTTTTGTTGATCTATATTCTCCTGAAATTTGGATATTTCCGGGATGCCAAAGTTAAGCCATCAGTGCTAATAATCAGATATTGCCCTGATTTCCAGATAAAGGCATTTTTAAAAGTTCATGTTACTTCTGGACTGCTCATGTTTGTTTGTGAACCAGCAGAGCAGATGAGTTCTGATTTAGGCACACACAAAGTTCACGAGTCAAGCATTTGTCTCCATGCTATGGGATGAGATTTGCAGCATGCACAGAGAGATGCAGGTATGGAGTGGAGAGAAAGTGCTCAGGGTACAGTCCCAGCCCATGTGGCCTACATGCCTCATAAAGTATTTCAACTCTTTTCACTATTATAATTCATTGGTGATAAATTGTTCGTTTTTTTTTTTTTTTAATGGTATGCACAAATTTCTCAAAATATATGGAAACAGAACTTTTTCTTGAAATAAATTATCTAATTGAAGAATTCTTCATACCACATAGGAACAAATATCTTAAGAAAGTCATTTTTTGCCATTTTCTGTCCAATACTTTGGAGAAAGATTTTGAGTATTTTTATGCCTGTTGTCAGTAATGATTATCATTCTGCCAACAGGACACCTGAGATTTAACTGTAGGAAAAAAATATATAAAGGATCTAATTTTCAAGTGGAAATAGAGGAAATATTCATATTTTTGCCTCAAATATTTCTAATGTCAATGACATGCTTTTCACAATGTATTTCCCTCTTCAGTCATCCCAATTCTCAGCCACTATGTAAGCTGCACAATCAACTGAACAAGCCCATCATGATTATACATCAGAAGAAACACAATTAGAAAGCAATCACATAGCAACAATTCCCATCTAACATGTTGCAACCACACAACAGAATCCTATCAAAATTCCATATGGTACTACCGAGCCATATTTACTGTGCTACCAATCTTCTGGATCCTTTTCTCCTCAGTTTCTGATGATCCACCAAAAGTCTCTGCTGATAAACCTATAAATGATAAATCAATGTTCCAGGGTACTTAAGAAGGCTCATTTTGAATTTAAAATTTAATACTGGCTCAGTAAATTTAAGCTACCCGAGAACTCCCTAGTTTTCCATTGATCTATTAATATGAAAACCTCAGATGTGACAGGAGCTAAACTGAACTGGATTAACATTCACCTTTCAAACTATAAACCTTCAGGTCGGGGATAAAGTAATGAAGGGGATTAAGCTGTAAAGAGCAGGATTCATTAGATTTCACATAGCATGTTACCAGTGTAACAGGACATCATCCAGCACTAAGAAGTTCTCAAGGCACAAAAAGGCTCAGTAAAGTCCTGTTCTTCCCAATTCTGAAACCGGATTCCTATCCTCACATGAAATGTTGAAAGATAATAATTCCTCTGTTAAATTGTCTCTAATGCAACAGCAACCAAAGATAAACACCAAAACGGGGCATTAAGTACCCACTTCATTCTGGAAAAATGATTTTAAAGCTAGAAAAAGGTGTAAAACTAGTAAAGAACCTAACAGTGAAACTAACGGTGAAACCAACTCGGAGTACTTCCAGCCAAAACTGAAGGGGTGCAGATAACGCGTGTGCCTGCTGCCATCGCCTGGTAGTTCTGAGGTAACACCATAATAAATATTAACTCCTTTTTCCTCTAGAAAAATGTCAGGTCTCCGAAGGAAGACCTTCCCCAAAAACGGAAAAAGAACTTTATGTTCTACAGAAAACGCCTTCAAAACTCTCAAAATTTACAAGATTTTATTTCTCTGTACAAGGCAGCCACTACCTGGACATAGCTCCTTACAAGCTAAATGGAGTTCTAATACTGGCTTAAGCAAAGAAACATCAAAATTCTTTGATTTTTATAAAGGAAATAAGTACTCACCCGACTTATTTTAATTTAAAAACACATTCAGAAAATTAACTGTAGGAATTTACACATGGCATTCAAAATCAAAGGAAGTATCTTTGGGAAGCCTGATCATCTTATTACAAGTTCTAGTGCAGATTATTGGCCCATACTGACTCATTTTAATATCCATTTCTTTTCATGAATACTTGAAGTTAAAGACAATCTTCCACTGTTGTGCTACTCTCATTGCCTTTGGTGAATTGCACAGCATTGATATTTGCAATAATATTCCATGTTTTATGTTCTAAAAATAGGATTAGTAAACTTGAAAAGAAATTTTATTTTGACAGCTGACAGAAGGCACCTGTCCTTACCCTGCAAAATTTAGTGCCACAAAGACTGTTTTAACTTTCATTTCATAGGCTATTTTGCTGTTCTGGAGAGAAGAGACTTGTCCACATCCTCCCAAAGGTTAAAAAAATAAACAAATAATGGGAATAAACTTTACAAGTGGATTATGTCTCCTAGGGTGCTGAATGACTATGGGAATGTGACCTGGTGTGCCTTAAAAAAAATGAAGGCATACCAGTGATTTGCATTGCCCATGGTTCACTGACAATTGCCATGGGGAAACAATCACTGAATGCTGCAGAAAAGCCAAGCTAAATACGGAACATTTCCCTTCACAGAATGAGAATCCAAAAAATTGTGTTGCAACATCAAGCTGTAACTGAGAAACTGAACAATGACTGAAGAGTTGTAAGAGATCTAAATTAAATCCAACTGGGATTTCACATTCCTTATGAAAATGCAGGTTTTATCATGAGATGATTAAAGCAAGGATAGCCAACTCCTGGTGTGCCAGAATGTACAACTTAGCCTGTCATCCTGGTTCGTGAGAGTCACTTGTCCCTTGGAGCTGGTCAGGAAGCAGCCTGTCACAAATCAGCCACTCGCCCTCAGCAGGATCCCTGGCAGAGCTGCAGAGCCCTCCTCCTGCTGGACATTCCCTAGCCACAGGCACTGTCTATGGAGCGTGGTCAGAACCACGAGGAAGGACTTGTGTGCATGTCCCCATCACACCTGGCCGGGCCATGGTCAGATGGCAGCTGCAGCTTACTTACAGCACAGAAGAAACAACGTATTTCCAAAGGTTGTGCAAACTGCACCAAATGCAAAGGTGACGGGGATTTGTTGTGGGGGAGAAGGGAACACATCTGGGCAGAAACTGGTGCTAATCACAGCACAGAACCAGGGAGAGAAACGACCCAAAACTCTGAAATGCCACGTGCAGGAAGCTCAGAGCTCCAACAGAGATCACCAACCACTCTCAATGCCTACCAGGTGAATCTTGTCAAAAGTAATGAAGAAGCAATTAAGTCTGTCACTGATAAGCATATGCACCTGTGTGTGTGTGTAAACCATCCAAACTGAAACACAGGGACATTAACTTGGTAAACCAAGAAACACCTAGATTCCTGTCTTCTGTCTGATTTTAACAGTAAGACAACTAGAGGAGAAATGTGCTGAATATTAATCAAAAGCTCTGCTATTCTTGCCTGGTCTCACACTTTCAAGTTATTCTGTTTATCACAAAAATGAGCAGCTCTCCAAAAGCAAAATGGACAAGAAGCCAAGCGTAGGAAAAACCCCAGAGAAATGAGACCATTTGGGGATGGATAAATAAGAGCACCATAGTACATAAGGTTTTAAGCAAAACAGCTGATATTCACAGCAATCCAACTTCTAAAAGATAGGCTTTGGATAAAAAATGCTTCCATTATTACAACCTTGGAAATATACCACTCTTACTCAGAAAATACTTTATTCAGAAGACTTATGTATCATAACACAATCACTAGTGAAAAAGATCGAGAATAAATCTCCCCTGGTTAAATTAAATTATTCAGACCCTTTCAGAACTTCAGCACATGACTTCAGGGCAATACCATTTGTTTTAATCACAGCAGCCTGAATCCTGAGAAAAACCATATTTCCTCTTGGATCAAAATAGGAACCAAGAGAAAGCCTAAGCTTTTGTTAAAAAGTGTTTTATTACAATAAATAAGCAATCACACCATCAATTCACTCTCTTAGCATCTGGCCCACTGTACTGTGTAATGACTATATGGTTTTTATTCTCAGTATAAATATTTGTGTTTTGAATACAACTTCATTTTAAGACTGATCAATTTGTTTCTTTCAAGGGCGATATGGTTATCTAACACAAGTATATCTTAGATGATAATATCAGATGATGCTTTGGAAAAATCACATTCAGGGAATAATTAACTTCATTTGCAGCTCTGCTCCATCCATAAATCCATAAATTTTCATTTTCTTGCTTATAATTGATTTTATCGTCTAATTAGCTGGTGACCTTGTTACTATCCCGGCAGACCATAACTTCCCCTCCTCATATTATTAACATACTTCAACATTTCCTCGTTTTGCTCAGTCTCTCTTACCTGTTAACCTCTGCCACAGCTTCCTCCAGGTGACGGACACTGCTGGTTGCAACATCTTCCTTGGTCTCCCTGTATTAACAGGACTAAAGATGTTTGACCAAGTAGCAAATTCCCTTCACCAAGGCAGCCCAACAGCCCTAATGGTTCTTAACCCTTTATTATTTTTATTATTATTATTGCTGGAGTTATTATGGAATGAAGGAAAAATTGTTTATCCACGTTCCCCCCACCTGCCTCTTCACACATGGGGAGTGCTTGCAGAATAGTATTTTTGATTTCAAACAGCAACTGCATGATTTACACCATGAAAGTCACCAGTTAATCATAAATGAAGTATTTGTTGAATTCATACCTGGAAAGTACCATTTTTTGGTTAGTACGGTCGAATACACCTAGGCAAAGTGAAACGCAACTTCCCACAGCATTCCCAAGGCAGAGCTCCTCACTCGCTCCACCCCCGCTCCGCGCTCCCCTCAGCCCCGCCCACAGACGCGCCAGCACCGGGAGCGGCCGGGCAGTTTAACGTGGAGGAAAAAACCCCTTCCTCTCCCGCCAGGCAGCCACGAAACCCCGCAGGCTGCAGCCCGGTTTCCACGGCTGAGGGCCGCAGGGAATCGCCATTCCCGGAGGGAAAGCCGCTGCGGCTGCCTGAGGCGGCGCGCGCCCCCCTCACGCGGCCGCGCGCGGGGGAAGGGGCGGGGCCGGGGGGGCGGGGCCGGATTCGAACCGGGCGGCGGGAAAGCGGCGGCCATGGCGGCGCAGCAGCAGCTCGGCCGGGAGCACCAGGGCATCACCCTGCGCGGCAGCGCGGAGCTCGTCGCCGAGTTCTTCTGTGAGGGGGCCGCGGGGAACCTCGGGGACCGCGCTGCGAGAGAGGGAGGGAGAGAATGAGGGTGGGAGGGTAGGTGAGGGGGTGGGAGGCCGCGGCTGGTGGGGCGACATGGCCGCCGGCTGAGGCGTGGGGGGGGCGTGGTACACATCCCTTTCCCTCTCCGCCTAAATCGTGCAGCCTATGGAATCAACAGCATCCTGTACCAGCGGGGCATCTACCCCCCCGAGACCTTCACCCGCGTGCAGAAGTACGGGCTCACGCTGCTGGTCACCACAGACCCCGAGCTGGCCAACTACCTCAACAACGTGACCGAGCAGATGAAAGGTGCGGGCCGGCGGCGGGACCCTCCCTGCGGGTGTCCCTGCCGCTGCTTCTCCCGCTCTGAGCGACTGCCCCGGCTTCTTGCAGAGTGGCTGTACAAGTGCACCGTGCAGCGCCTGGTGGTGGTCATCTCCAGCATCGAGAGCAGCGAGGTCCTGGAGCGGTGGCAGTTTGACATCGAGTGTGACAAAACTGCAAAGGATGACAAGTGAGTTCCACGGTCCCTCCACTCCCGCGCTTCACTATCCCGAGTACCTGGGCAGATCAATGCCACGGACTTGTTCCTTCAAAGCTTTCTCAGTGGCCTGCCCTCTGTCTGCAAAACAGACTGAACACACAAACAATAGAGGGAGAGCAGCTATCACTTAACTTTTCTAAGGACTTAAGTGTCACTATTACTCTAAAAATACTGTAGCAAACAGACTACCAGAGCTTAACAAAGATAACTATATTTAGAGGAAACTGTCAGTGCAGTAGTAGTTTCTTCTCTTACCAGAGTTTTCTTATTTTTCCAGTGGACCACGGGAGAAATCTCAGAAGGCAATTCAGGATGAAATTCGCTCTGTCATCAGACAAATAACTGCCACAGTAACCTTCCTGCCACTCTTGGAATCTGCCTGTGAGTATTCCAAACTGCACTAAAATAAAATACTTTTGAAAAACCTCAGTAACTTTCCAACTTCGGAAAATATTTTCTGAGGCTTTTTAATGATTACCCATCGTGCACTGTCAGGTTTGTGAGACAGCATGTTGTTAGAGTGAGATCCAAGACAGAACTTGGTGTGGCTTAACAAACTTGAGGAAATTAATGTGTATGCCCTGAAGAATGCAAGTTTTCATTAATAATTTGCTCCTATGAAATGTTTTACAGAACTCATCTCCACAGCATTGTAACATGCTTTAAAAAAATTTACAACACAATTTAGTTATTGAGAAAACTAAAATGACCTCACGTGAATGTAACTTTTGTTTTTTTCACATAACTAGTATCAGTGTAACTTCTGAAAACCTTGATCCTTTTCTCAAATTCTAGAAGATGCACTTCAAACCTGCCACCATGTCCATATGGTGAATTTGTTTTCCCTTGCTCCCAGGTGCCTTTGACTTGCTGATCTACACGGATAAAGATTTGGCAGTGCCAGAAAAGTGGGAAGAGTCAGGACCGCAGTTCATAGCCAATTCAGAAGAGGTTCGGCTACGTTCCTTCACTACCACAATCCACAAGGTCAACACCACAGTGGCTTACAAGAAGGATTCTGTTCCCTAAGATGCAGGGGCAAGTTTTGTGTGTGTAAATATCCTGTCACCTTGTATAGTTTCTGTTCATCATGCAGCTAAGCTATGAGCACATCATTACTGTCCTCTTGATAAAAGTATGACAAAAAGACAATGTGCACATCTGTGATATTGTGACACTAGACTAAGCTGGCATTTTAAAAAGGTATTAATGGTCATAGTTAAATTCTTACTTTACTGTATGTAAAATAAGCTAAACTAATGGTACATTAAACCACTGCCTCTGCTAGAAAAACTGCCTAAATCTAGGATTAGTTGCTAGAGTTGTATTATTCTTAAACTGCATTCTGTTAGCAGTATTAAATTCTCTGTAGCAACTAAAATAATCTCATTCCTAGTGTGCCAGTTTTCATGTTAAGAAGCCTGGGCTGTTTTATTACCAGAAATAACCCTAAAACAAATCAACCAAACAATTCTTGTACTGCTCTACAATGGTAGCAGCTGTTTATCAGGAAAACTTTAAACACATGAAGCCTTCTATTTTAATGACCACTGGGCTCTGGTTCTGGGGACAGAGTTGTTCTGTGTATGTCTGTTGTGTCTGTTCACCGTTTTCTATGTTTCTATTCTTGGTTACAGAATAAAGCTTCGGGTTTTATAATGTTCTCTAATTCAGAGTCTGCAGTTCTTGGTACTTCAGATGGTTCCACAAATGCTACATTCTAGTTTATAACTGTCACACAAGCAACACCCAAAAGACATAAAAGACATCCTCCTTGTTACTTAACTGTTTCCTTCAAGTCTCCAAGTGGTGTGGACTCTATATGAAATCCATTAATGGATTAACACTTTGCTCCCACCTAAGTCTTCAAGTAACAGTTTAAACAGTCACAGTGAACTAATGACAGTGCCTTCCGTATTTGTTAAACAGCACTGGACTCTTTCATGTGTTCTTACCATTTCTGTAGTGGAAGAAATTAGGGATTTAAATCTCTAGAACTTTCAGACTTACATGGATTTGGTTCACTTCCTTCACTAAATTCATTCCAGCCAGAGTGTTTAACTGGTTTTTCCATTCTTTTACAGTGATGTAGAACTTTCTGTTATAATAATATAATTTCAGAATTTTATTTAAAAAAGCATAGATTACATATACCCTACCCCAGGACTGTATTACAACCTTCTTGCATTTTCCTGTTTCCAGGAAATATTTCTCCCCAGCAGTCCCAATACAGCCAAAGAAAAAAAAAAAAAAAAGGCTCTTTAAATCAGGACCACAAAGCCTTAATTTTTAAAAAATAAATACAATCCAGGTACTTAACAAGTGACATTATTCACAGCTAGGGCTTGTGCTGCAGTAACAGAAAATGGTGTTTTCTTTTGCCTGTCAGCACAATTGTGACTGCACTACCCCTTTCACCCCCAGAAGCACGTCAAAGAGTGAAGTCTGCAGTAGTGTGCATAAAAACCACTTATTTTACAGAGATGCAAATGTGAAATTGCTCCAAGAAGCTCATTCTTGTACCAAGGAGAATTTATCTTCTTTAAGAAGGGCCAGCCCAAAGTCCATCACCATCATCATCTTTGTGTTTCTTCTTTTATAGAGGCACCAGCAATCAAGAGAAGTTGCATACAGATCACTGCATGTAGATAATGTCCACAAAAGGTACATGTGAAAAGCGACAGGTCATAGATCCCGAAGTTTTCACAAAACCCCTGCAGAATAGGGAAGAAAATATACAATAAAGTCATATTATCTCCCAGGAGCCAAGCCTTCATGGAGGTGTCCAACCGCATGTGCTGATCCTAAAGGGATCACTCTTGATTAGTTTCCCCTACTCTGAGTGACAATCAAAACCAAGTGAGCACCCCCTTAATCTTCAAGGGCAGTCTGGTTGTCCTTAGGACAGGGAATGAAGGGTAAGCTTCAGAACCAACCCAGCAGGCACTGCTCACCTGACTAGTTGAGCTGACGGATGAGCTGGTTGATTGCATCACCTCTGTAGCCAGGCTTGCCCATCTCCTTGAGGAAACCCACTCTGTTCCGCGATGCGTGGCGAGCCACCGACAGGTGGAACGGCCACAGAAAGCTGGTTACTCTTTTGAAATACTTCCCAGTTGAGTAGATTTCATGAATAAGGTCTTCCAGACAAATGATACCACAGCCCCCTGTATGAGGGAAAAAAAAAGAAGAGATGTCCAACTATATCATCTTTCCTCACACTGCTCCAGAATGGCCAGTCCTCCAGTTTGAGAAAATTTTGTCTGTCCCCACCCTTTCAGGCCAGACTGTAAACTCTCAACACCTAACTCTTTCCTCAATTTTCTCACGCTCTTCCTCACCGAAATGTTCCTCTATCAGCATGTTGTCTGTCAGAGGCACCCTCTTTTTCTTGATCTTGGCTTGGCCCCGTTTCAGGATGAGCTCTCGTACAGATTTCAGGTTAGGCTGTCTGTGCAGAAACAAAAATCAGACCCTGTAACAGAGAGACATGATGCAGAGGGAAACCCATACCACTTCCTTGTGCAGAGGTGGGAAAGTACACAAGTTATGTCAAGAACAATGAGAACAAAGAAAATAGCAAGTTTTAAATATAAAGTTGATTAAGTTTTGACCATGACTGGAGAAGTAATGGATCTGTGATAGCAGCTGGAGAATCCAATGACCCCCAAGTCACAGGAAGGGCACGTACCCCCACGCCACATAAGGTTCCACGATGCGCAGCATCTTCAGCGACAGCGGGCTCAGCTTCACAAATACCCCGGTATAATTCTTCCTCAGCCGCAGCAACTCAATCACTCTTTTCACCCTCTTAGTCACACCCTTAATACTGAGGAAAACAGAATTTATTAGTAACCACATTTCTCTAATACAGCAACTAAAGGCCTCAGATCACCTGCAAGGAGACACGTCTGGGTTGATCCCACTGCCTTGGTATGGAAACGACGAAACAACAATGCGTAGCAACAAGGGAAGGAGTAGGGGAAGGCTCTTACTCCACAATCCTCACGACGAAGGCCAGTTTGCTCTCCTGAGGTGCCGCTGCCTGCCCAGGCCTCTGCTCCATGCGCCTCAGCCGGGTGTCATCCCGGTGTTTGCGCCATGAATCCCGAACAAAGGTCTCCAGGCGCCTGAACTGGATCTGTTTCCCCTTCTGCTGCTGCAGACAAAAGGAAAACAAAGTGAGGTTTACATCTGAAAGGCCAAATGAAATGCAAAGTAGTGAACAATG